GTTAAGCACCTCTGGGTTCAATCCCTGGTTTTAAAAAAAAAAAAAAAAATTTTTTTCACTCAATCCCTTGCATGGTCCAGAGAAGCACTTAAGTATACAAAACTTATAACATTTCTTAAGTTGACCAAAAAATTCAATAGTTTTGTGCATTACTGAGAGTTTCCAAGAATTACTAACTAGTAAACAATTTACTGGGCTCAGGAAATTTACTTGAATGGTGGAGATAAGAGAAAGTCAAACCAGGAAAAAATCTGGTGCCATGACAAGGCACAACTGGAAAATCCTCCCAAACCTGTTAATCAGGTCAACAGTGTACCTCAGCTCTGCCATGGGTGTGTGTGTGTGTGTGTGTGTGTGTGTGTGTGTGTGTGTGTGTCTTCTCTCTTCCCCCTCCCTCCCTCCCTCCCTCTCTCCTCTCTCTCTCTCTCTCTCTCTCTCTCTCTGAGACTATCTCCAGAACTCACTCTCTATCTCAGAACTATATACAATGTTAGCTGCTAGGTCAAAAATTGTCCGTTTTACCAACTTTGACATGAAAAATGAAACACAGATTCTCACTCATCTTTTAACCACTCAAGGGAGACAGGTGGTAGAGAAGGACAAAGAATAAAAGTTATTTGCTATGATTATACATAAAGAACTGCAGTGATTTAAGTCTTATAAAGCCTGTCCATCTTCTCTATCATAGGTCATCATCCAGCGGCCACTGCGTAGAATCCAGAAAACAAACATTTTGTTTACACTGGGGAAGGTTTTTAAAATTTGTAACTAGTTGCTAACAATTAGAAAACACAATAATCTGGATTCCCAGCTTCCTCTGAAAAATAGGAAGATTGGTCATACTGCTCACATTCTCAAACAGTGACAACATGCTGAATAAATAGCAGCTGCCTCCTTTAAATAACAGCATGAGTTTTCCAGTATACCAAAGTCTTCATTACATCCTAACACATTCCCACCTAACTAACTTAGGTTATTTTTTTTTAATATTTAGTTTTCAGTTTTAGGTGGACACAATATCTCCATTTTATCTTTATGTGGCGTTGAGGATCAAACCCAGTGCCCCGCGCATGACAGGCGAGTGCGCTACCACTTGAGCCACATCCCCAGCCCCCTTAGGTTATTCATATCACCTGTTTATATGATTTGTCATCATACTATCATAACTACTTATACCATTAGTTATTATGATCACTTCCAATACTCTTGGGAAAAAAATCATCACTTCCATGATTACTTCCACTACCACTCCAAAGTAACATATTATTATATTCCATTTAATTAAGCAAGTGCAGTTTACTATACTGAAATATAGAAAAAGAGGAACAGGGGCTGGGGTTATGGCTCAGCAGTAGAGCACTTGCATAGTGTGTGTGAGGCACTGGGTTCTTTCCCCAGCACCACAAAAAATTAAATAAACAAAGATATGTCCATCTATAATAAAAATATTTTATAATATTTTTTAGTTGTCAATGGACCTTATTTATTTTTTTAAATATCTTTATTTTGGTTTTATGTGGTGCTGAGAATCGAACCCAGTACCTCACACATGCTAGGCGAGTGTGCTACCACTTGAGCCACATCCCCAGCTCCTAAAAATATTTTTTTTWATTTTAATATTTATTTTTTAGTTATCGGCGGACACAACATCTTTTGTTTGTATGTGGTGCTGAGGATCGAACCCGGGCCGCACGCATGCCAGGCGAGCGCGCTACCACTTGAGCCACATCCCCAACCCCCTAAAAATATTTTTTAAAAAAAGAAAAAGAGGAACAATATAAAATTAAATATAAAAAAGATAAAAGAGGAATAATAAAAGCAGCCTATCATATTTATATAGCTCTTCCAGCTGAAGGTAAATGAATCTCTTCTTTCAACTCAACCCCTCCAGGACCCCAACAACAGAATCAATCTAAGCAGTCACACTGAACCACAGGGATAGAAAATGATCAATCACTTAGAAGTGGGTAGCATGATCTGTCCAATGATCACCCTGTGTCTCCTCAAAAGAAGGAGTTGTGTCTTCTTCCTCACAAGCTGCCCATAGTAGCCAGTCTAAGTACTCTATTAGTGAGGTTATTATTTAGAAGTGTCTGTCATCTGACTTCTGGAACACAGGAAAGTGATATAATAGTGGAACTCTTGACAACTACAAGCAAAAACTAGGATTGATGCCCAGTTATTGATGTGTCTACAACCTGAGTTCCTACAGTGCCAATTGTCAAGACTGTAGTATATTGTCCAGTTATAGCCACCATTAAAAAGAAACTAAAGTGGGCTGGGGTTGTAGCACAGTGATAAAGAACTTGCCTAGCTCATGTGAGGCACTGGGTTTGATTCTCAGCACCACATAAACATAAATAAAATAAAGCTATTGTGTCCACCTACAACTAAAAATCTTAAAAAGGAAAAAAGAAACTCAAGGGATGGATGCAGTTGTAGCTCAGTGGTAGAGTGCTTGCCTAGCATGTGTGAGCCACTGGGTTTGATCCTCAGCCCACAACATAAACAAAATAAAGGTATAAAAGAAAAAAAGAAATTAAAGGCTTGCTTAGGAAGTGTAAGCCTGGGTTCAATCCCCAGTACTGCACCAAAAAAGAAAAAGAAGCCCAAATACAAGTGTTGAATAAAAGGTAAATTTTTTCATTCATGGATGGGTAGAAATAATTTCTACCTAGAAAAGTATTCAATCAGGGCTGGGGTTGTGGCTCAGTAGTAGAGCACTTGCCTAGCATGTGAGAGGCATCAGGTTCAATTCTCTGTGCCACATACAAAAAAAAAAAAAAAAAGTCCATCAACAACTAATAAAAAAATATTTTTTTAAAGTATTCAATCTAGAAAATCACTTTTTTCTTCTTCAGTGATGGGAACTAAACTTGAAACCCTGTACAGACTGGACGGATGGATGTTCTACCACTGAGATACACCGTAGTCCTGAAAATGACTTTTTAAATAAACCAAAAGAAAACCTTTGGTGTCTCTAGAGTTATTAGATTGATCACACTACCCAGAGACCAGATTGCCTATTATGCAAAATATATAACTCAGTAGGGCCCAGGTGAGCAAAGCAGACTCATCAAATTTAGGCACTTCCTGGGCTGACTATGTCATTTTCATGTGCCACTTTTGACTACTTTTTTGGAAATTCTACAACTTTGATCAGCAAGCTAAAATATAAATAGTTCTTTATACCATTTCCATCCCACTTATTTTCAAATCAATAAATGTAAACTATAAATGCTATTCCTTCTTCTCCCAACACACACACACCTACACACACACACACACACACACACACACACACACACACACTCTTCAGGAGGACAAAGGAAATTAAGTAGGAGAAATTAAGTTCAATTACTTTATCATCCTAGACAATTTCCTTCCCTTCCTCCTTGTTACTACCTCACCATGCAAAAGTGCAATGTTCCTGACTGCCAGAGACAGCACTAGACCACAAAGCCTGATCACAACCTGATTAGTTTGATGCCTTTAATCAAACTAATCACAGGTACAGATAATAATTGAGTGCCCACTACCTGATGAAAGGCATTAGGCTGATCCTGAAGTGCTGCACATATATGCTTCTACTTTTAAGAAGTGTATAAACTGAGCATCCCAAAACAGATCTTTCCATTTATATCTTTCAGAGGACCTAAAGGACTGCCTTATATACCTGATAGAAAGGCATATAAACTTCTATGTTATGCATTACGAAATACTATCTACACTATTCCTCATTATAAAGTATTCTTTACCTTTGGTGGACTTTTACAACATAGCAGTTTATCAAAAGTTATCCCTGGGGGCTGGGGTTGTGGCTCTGTGGTAGAGTGCTTCCCTAGAATGTGTGAGGCACTGGGTTCAATCCTCAGCACCACATAAAAATAAATAAAAAATAAAATGCAGGTATTGTGTCCATCCACAACTAAAAAAAAAAGTCATCGCTGTGCCATAAACTACACTCTTTGGGGTTATGCCCCATCTTTCACTGCTGTCCTGACTCTACCGAAGAGCCAAACATTTCTCATGACTTTTTATCCACTAAAATAAGCCAACAGTACCAAATTTTACCAGTATTCAAATTTCTCTCTGCTCTCGGTTAAATTTAATCATTTTCTTCTGATTAAATCTTATCTCCTGTAGGCCAAATGAAGAGAAGACCTGGGGACCCAAAACATACACCAGAAGAGAATACCTATAAAAGATTGTATAAAGGAAGAATCAGGCCCAGAAGTCCAGTGTTTATATACAGACTCAGAGTGGCGACTGAGCTGCCCTACAGGAGATACAGCCCAGTTTCCCAGGCTGCTTGCCTCAACTCTTCTGACTACCTGAGTCTAGCTAGGTCGCACTGGTTCATCATTCAGGATAAATGAAGAAATTCAGCTGCACTGATGAAGTAGTCACATATAAGTTGAAACTCTGGGGGCTGGGGTTGTGTGTGGCTCAGTGGTAGAGTGCTTGCCTAGCGTGCACGAGGCGCTGGGTTTGATCCTCAGCACCAAATAAATGTAAAATAAAGATATTGTGTCCACCTAAAACTAAGAAATAAATATTAAAAAAAAAAGAAGTTGAAACTCTGCAAAATCTGGAGAGGCTCTCATATCCAAGTTCTGAAAACTCAACCCTTAAATGTATAAACAATGCTCTTTAGCTTTTACTTTCAGCTTCTGAGGAATGGACTCTTTAGGATGCAGAAGCTCTGGAAAAGAAAAGCTGACGGCTACATTAGGCCTGGGAAAACAAGAAGAACTGAAGGACCCAGAAAGATCACAATTCAGAACTGAAATCGCCCCTCCTGCAGCAGTGCCTGACCTTTGCCCCCTGCAARACTCCCAATTCCCTCCCACAACAATCCCTCCCTCGTTTAATTCCTGCGCCCAGAGTCCTTAACCCATCCCGGCTCATCCAATTTAAGGACTTTTCCCCCTTATTCCCTATCGCGATGTCAGGGCGGCCTTCACAACGCTGGAGCTCTAAAAAGAGACTTTGCTGACCTGTCAGCAGATCCAAAATGGCGGGGCCTAGTCCCAGGACCGGCAGCCGCTGCTCATGTCCAACCTGGTCCCGGGAGGCGTCGCTCCCAGAGGCTGTCCCCACTCGGTGGAGGGTGGTAGAAGGGAAGGAGCCTGTTTTCTGAAAGTTAAGGCTAAAGTCAAGGTGGGACCGCTCACTTGACCGGAATAAGTCGGCCGGGACGGGCGGAGGAGCCGGCTACCTTCCCTGTCAGCTCACTGACGTGGTAACTAGCCTCAGTCTAGCCCGCTGCCTGGTAACTGCGCGAGCCCTGCCGTTTGCAGCCAATCATAGTCTGGCACAGTGAGAAGTGGCGTTCCCGCTATCCAATCGAAGAAAAGAAACTAGCTGCAGGAGGCGGGTAGTGCCTAAAGCGGCGAGATTATAAGGAAAAGAAAAGGGTAGGTAGGAGACAACCAACGGATACGAAGATACTCTGAGTGACAATTATGAAAGCCAATAAAAATAGGGAATTTCTCTGGGCGGTTGGAGAGGTGGAGTTAGGTAGAGTTCGGTTGCAGCGCGCAGTTTTGCAGTGGCCGCTTGGCATTATGGGGAGGAAGGTTACGATTTGCTGGAAAGGAGGCGGGGCCCGTTTTGAGAGCTTGAGCGGGCACTCCTGACTCCCCCGGCGCATCCTGTGAAAGTCATCGGAGCCAATACTATCCTCGTTGAGTGATCACTCCTTTTCGAAGCAGTCTGGGGTCCCTTCATCCTAAGACCAGTCCGGCGACCTCTTCCACACTCTGCCCTCCCCCAACCTTCCCCGTCTGCCTGCTCCTTGTGACTTCTCATAGGTGTGTCTGTCCCGTCCCAACTCTGTTTCTGTGTCTTCTGCCCCATTCTTAGCATCCAGAAAAAGAAAATGCGAGATGGCAGAAACCCTGGATATCTCTTACAGAGCAGGAAAATAAATCCCAGAGTAGAAAACTGGCCCCATGTTCACATAGCTAATTAATGGCAGGGAAGAGAGACAAATCCAGGTATCCTCACTACCCCCACTAGTCCAGCACTTTTTTTTTTAATTTTTTTAATTT